GAAGAAGAAGAAGAAGAAGAAGAAGACGAAGAAGAAGACGAAGAAGAAGAAGAAGACGACGCTGATTTTTTTGGACCTCCACAGATACGCTTGACCCAGGGGCGGGATGCCGAATGTTACAAGGCCGCTAAAGCCTGAGAACCTCAGCCCCCCCCCCCCCCCCCCCCCCCCCCCCTCTCCTCCAAAGAACAGAACCAGTCAAGTCCCTAAACCCTAACCCTAAACGCTAAGCCCAAACCCCCAAACCCTGCAGACCCGAAGCATAATGCCGGGCCCTCAAGAGACCCTCAACCTTGTTCACATTGCAAGGCAGGTGCAGATCTTCAGCGGGGGCGTTTCCCGCACCGAGAGGGCCCTGGTGGTGCGGGTCCTGGATTTAGAATCCTGAATTTAGGGTTTCGGATTTCGGGTCCTGGGTTTGGGTTTCGGGCTTGGGGGTTCAGATGTTTGGGTATGTGGCTCCCCCCAAAACTGACCTTCAGCGTCCAGTCCAGAGCAATGGAACAGTATGGAACCTCTCCTCTGCGAAACCCTAGACCCTACATAAAGCCGCTGAACCCTTTTGAAGCCCAACACCCTCAGTAAAGCCCAAAGCTAGCACCTAAAGCCCTAAACCCTAAACCCGATAAATCCTGAACCTTAGCTAAAACCCTAAACCCCTTCCATAGCAATTGCTAGGACCACGAGTAGGCCCTTGTCCCCTGTTTTTAGGGTTTGGGTTCCTTTATAAGCCAATTTAACCCAAAAAAAGGGCACTGGGTCTAATCCTAAACCCTAAACCTAGACCCTAAACCCTAGGTACTCCTAGGTCTGGATTGCCCCACCGGTGAGTAGGCCCTGGCATGGCCATTTCTTACAGGGACTTACTTTTTATTGAATTACGGGCGTTTGGGGTTTTAGGGTTTAAGGTTTAGGGCTCGGCTTTAGGGTTTAGGGTTTAGGGTTCTGGGTTTAATGGCCAGGGCAAGAACCCAACACCCAAGGCAACTGCAAGAAGGCACTCCGCCTACGAGATCTCCCCCGGGTTTAGGGTTCAGAGTTCAGGGTTATCGAACTAGTCGTACTCAACGCTCAAAAGAGGGCCTTGTTTCATGCCATGGGCTCCCAGGTGTTCCAGCTTATATCAAGCCCTAGCAACCCTAAGCCTAAACCCTAAACCCTAGCCCCCAAACCCTAAACCCTAAACCCTGAGACCCAAATCCTAGACCCTAGACCCTAAACCCTAAACCCTGAACCCTACACCCCCCCCCCCCCCCCCCACCTGACGCCACGGGCCCTCGAGGCGGGTACGGATGGCAGCGTGGAGCAGGCGGGCTCTAACTCTCGCAGTTTGGGGTTTGGGGTTTAGTGCGAAAGTGTTAGGGTGTTAGGGTTCAGGGTTTTAGGGTGTAGGGTGGTACTATCTGACAAGTACTAGCTCTTAAATCATCTCAACAAGGTGGGTGGGCGAAGTCGGGTCTACTTGGACAGGCACGCACTTTTGGCTTTCGGGCTGGGGAACTCCGGAAAACCCTAAATTCAAACCTGGTACTGGGTTTTGGGTTTAGGTCTTAATGTGGGGTTCGAAGGATCTTGCTCCCTTCGGTATGAGGACATGATGCACTTGGGGCCAAGGCATTCAATGTCGAAAGAGAAGCAGAGGGTGGTGGGGGAGGGGGCGGGGCTTAGCCGGGAGAGCGCGGGTGGCTGTAGGTCGTCCACGACCTACCTTGTTCTGTCATTGTGGTATCCTCCTAACTCGAAACTCTAAACTCTAAACCCTAAACCCTGTTTGTTAACATGATGCCAGGCATCCCCTCCAAATCGTTGCGCATCTGCTATCGTGGGCAGCACCCCCCCCCCCCCCCGCAATCTTGATCTTGATCTTGTGGTCGACGACTGTGTGTGCCTACTTGGGTACTTCCCAAACTAGGGGCACCCCTTTCATACCCGAAATGGAATACAATCCTAAACCCTAAGCCCTAAGTCCTAAACCCTAAACCCTAACCCTAAACCCTAAACCCTAAACCCTAAACCCCCAAAAAGGGTAACCCTATTTTCGGAAACTCCCACTTCAAGCGGTGTGAGAGCTGCCAGGTCGAGAGCAACATCGCCAAGGCATTGCAGGGCTTAGGGTTTAGGGTTTAGGGTTTAGGGTTTAGGGTTTAGGGTTTAGGGTTTAGGGCCTTAGGGTTTAGGGTTTATAATATAGGGTTTAGGGTTTAGGGTTTAGGGTTTAGGGTTTAGGGCTTAGGGTTTAGGGTTTAGGGTTTAGGGTTCAGGGTTGTGACTGAGTTCGGCAAAACCTAGGCGGGTCCTTGGAGTCCTTGGGATTTTTTTGTTACATGTACCCCTATTGGGCCTGATCATTGATTATCCCTAAACCCTAAACCCTAAACCCTAAACCCTAAACCCTAAACCCTAAACCCTAAACCCTAAACCATGTTTAAGTTTTTTCTTCAGAGGAGCCAAGGGGCCAACCCAGCAACAGTGGGGACTTCGCTCAGAGTTCGTCTTCGTCAGGGTTTGGGCTTGGGCTCTACCCGAACCCGGTTTTAGGTGCCCGACTTCTTTGTTGCAGTACCCGAACTCGAGAAGAATCAAGGTATCCCCCCTCCAACAAACCCTAAACCCTAAACTCTAAACCCAGGGGTTATGGGTTTCAAGAGCAAGAAATGAGATTTTCAATCCGCAGGCCGTGCGAGCATTCGGTCCTACACCTGGCGGGAAGTGGGCCCTGCTGAAATTTGCTCGTGGGTTCATGGGAACCCTATATTCACCTCAGCCTACAAGGAGGGACCCTAAATTGGGTTATGAGGATCTTAAATTAAGTTAGAAGTCTCTTAACTGCAGTTAGTATGGCAAGGGGCCCCCTCCTTGTAGGCCCTCAGGCCCTAAAGTTTAGGGCATGTGGAGTTTAGGTTCCTCAACCCTAAACACCTCGCCCCCCCCCCGCATCAAAGCCCCTTACCCTGACACTTACCCCCCCCCCCCCCCCCCCCTTCAAGAAAAGCGTTAAGACCCGATTGGGGTTTAGGGTTCAGGGTTCCCTCCACAAAAAGACCGAGAACCGACACTCCTACCCAAAGGGTTAATCCCCAAGCCGTAGACCCTGATAGAGTTGATCGTTTGGACAATCGGCAATTTGCACATTTTTAACTGAGCCCCCTTGCACCCTCATTTCGGCCCACTAAGGGCCCAAACAACTATCTCTATATCCCAACATAAGCCTAAACCCCAACCCTAAACCCTAAACCCCAAACTTCCAAAGGGTGGGTGGGTAGACACTCGATACCAGAGTAGCGAGCTGACTTGCGATGCGGAACCCTAGGCCTGAAACCCTCAACCCTAAACCCTAAACCCTAAGCCTTAAACCCTCAACCGTAAGCCTCTTCGCCATTCGGGGTGCGTGGGCCTTTGGCAAGCTGTAGGTTCAGGTTGCTTGCGGTTTTAGGGTTTAGGGTTTCGGGCTTCGGGTTTCAGGTTTTGGGTTTTAGAGTGTAGGGGCTGGTCTGTTGGCTTTGAGCCTTTTGGGCTTTTCAGTTTAGGGAAGGTACCCCACCGAAGGAAGGCCCATAGATTGTCGACCCTAAATACTAAGCCCCTAGCCCTCGAGACCCCTAGTTAAACCCTAAACCCTAAACCCTGAACCCTGAACCCTAAACCCTGAACCCTGAACCCTAACCCTAAACCCTAAACCCTAAACCCTAAACCCTAAACCCTAAACCCTAAACCCTAGACCCTATATTATAAACCCTAAACCCTAAACCCTAAACCCTAAACCCTAAACCCTAAACTTCAAGACAGGAAGATGATGGAGGGAGAGAAGCTGGCAGCCGAGGAGGCCATGAAGACGGGCCTCTACGGCGCCGGGTGCTCAGCTAGCAGACTGTTCGGCCCTCCTGGAGCTCTAAGAATGAGGGTTCAGGGTTTAGGGTTTTGGGTTTTGGGTTTAAGCCTAAACCCTCTTTTATTGAGGGTTTAGGGTTGACAGGTTTTGGGCTTAGGGCGCTGGCGGTTTAGGGGAGATCATCAGCAATCAGCAGCTCACCCACAGCTCTGGCCGCAATCTCTGACCCGACGTCGTACAGAGCATCCACAGTAGCCTCACAACATCCCTCCATGGACTCCAGCTGACACTCAACCCCCCAATACTGCTGAAACACCCCACAAGAAACCTTGAGCAGCCCGGGCCCCAGCAAAAAGGCACACTCCTCAACCGAAGCCGCAAAACTCCAAAGCTTTATCCACCTCGAGACCCCTGAACCCAAACCTTGAACCCCCGGTGTCCCCTCCGCTCCAGCCAGCCGAACCCGCAAGCCCCAATCAGCTACCGTAAAACCCCATGTCCTACCCTGAACCCTGAACCTCAGACCCTAAACGCCTAAGCCCTAAACCCTGAACCCTCAACCCACATCCTAAACCTTAAACGCCCACCCAAACCCTAAACCCTAAACCCCAAATCGCATCCTGAACCCTCAGCCCTCAACCCCCAAAACCCTCAACCCCCAGCCCTCCGTCTCCGCGCCATGCGGGCCTGGGTTGCGCTGTTGCTGTGGCCCCGGCCCTGCTCCGCTGAGCTGCGTCTGGGTACCTTGAGCCAATTTAGGGTTTGGAGTTTAGGGTTTTAGGTTTAGGGGGGTTAGGGGGTCTAGGGGGGTTTTGGGGGGTTTTGGGGGGTTTTGGGTTTAGGGGGCTGGGTTTTTTGGGATTTAGGGTCTAGGGTTTGGGCCGTTTTGGGGTGTGGGGTTTACGGTACGCTGTCGGGGTTGAGGGGTTAGGGCCGAATTTCGAAACGCCCTTACCTACAACAACCTCCCTGACCCTACAAGCTCTAAACCCCAGCACCAGCTCCCCAACCTCCCAAATCCCTAAACCTTAAACATCCAAAACCCTAAAACCTTAAAACCCCAAAACCCCAAAACCCTCAAACCCTCAAACCCTAAACCCTAAACCCTAAAACCCTAAACCCTAAACCCTACCCCCCAAGAAAAAAACCCAGGCATCATGGTCACCAGCCGATGGGCCGCCTTCGATCGGCGGCAGCTCCTCCGCCAAGCCGTGCAGCCCGGTGGGCAGTTGGCAGTTTAGGGTTTAGGGTTGAGGGTTGAGGGTTTTGAGGGTTTTGAGGGTTTTGAGGGTTTTGAGGGTTTTGAGGGTTTTGAGGGTTCAGGGTTTAGGGTTGGCAGTTTTGTACCTTTCATGATGTTGTTGCTGTTGTGTATGTGTTTTGTGTATAGTGTGTTTTTTGTGCCTTTCATGATGTTGTTGTCGTGTATGTAGTTTGTGTATATACTTTGTGTATGTGTTTTGTGTATGCATTTAACACTACAAGCTCTACAAACCCTATTAACGCTACAAACCCAAAGGCACCGATGAACCCTATAGACCCTACAAACCCTATTATTAGACTCTAAACCCTAAGCCCCAAACCCTAAACCCTAAACCCTAAACCCTAAACCCTAAACCCTAAACCCTAAACCCTAAACCCTAAACCCTAAACCCTAAACCCTAAACCCTAAACCCTAAACCCTAAACCCTAAACCCTAAACCCTAAACCCTAAACCCTAAACCCTAAACCCTAAACCCTAAACCCTAAACCCTAAACCCTAAACCCTAAACCCTAAACCCTAAACCCTAAACCCTAAACCCTAAACCCTAAACCCTAAACCCTAAACTAAACACAAAACCCGACAACCCCTCAGGCGCCACTGTGCGGCTGGGCCGGGGGCATCAGCCGAGCCCCTCCGCGGCACCGGGTCTGCAGGTTGGGGAAGTTTAGGGTTTAGGGTTTAGGGTTTAGGGTTTAGGGTTTAGGGTTTAGGGTTTAGGGTTTAGGGTTTAGGGTTTAGGGTTTAGAGTGCAGGACTTCGGGCGTAGGGTGCAGGACTTAGGGTTTAGGGTTTGTAGGACGTGGGGTTCTTAGGCCTGATTATGCTGCAAGCTTAACAACCCAAAACTTCAAATAACCTAGCAAACGCCCCTAAACCCCAAACCTATACCCTAAACCCTACTACCCAACGTCTCCAAATCAAAGGCTCCTCTTCTTCATGGCCACACCCAGTGCTGGGGAGGAGGAGGCCCCTGCGCCCTTTTGAGAAGGCCCAGTACTAAACAGCCCCTTACAGCCTTGGGATCCCAAGGCTTTGGGGTTTAGGGTTCAGGGTTTAGGGTTTGGTCTAGGAAGAGAGGGTCTAGAGTTGGTGCGGTTTGGGGTTTAGGGTTTAGGCGGCTTCGGGCTTCGGGTTTTACCATGCAGGTATCTTGTGATGTGTTGGTGGCTTCAGAGGATCTTGTGTGGGATGTTGTCGTGTAGGGTATAAGGGTGAGGGGTATTAGGATTCAGGTTTTTGTGAACCCTAAACCCTAAACCCTAAACCCTAAACCCGAAACGCCACCTCTCCTTCTGTGGGTGGCGCGTCGAGCGCCAGCGAGACCATGGCAGGCTCTGCTGAGCTGCAGAGCCTGCCAACCGCACCCCTGAGGAGGGGTCGCCAGGCGACGTCGCCTAGCTCGCGGAAGGCCCGCCCCAACCCTGGCCTGGGGCCTCATTTATGTCCTTCGCAAGGTAGGTCTTTCGACTCTTCGAGTGAAAAACAATGAGAAGGCCCTCCGGCCGAAGACACCCCCCCAACGCAAACGCCGATTTGGCTCTCGCAAGCTTCTAGACCTGTTTAGCAAAGGGTCTATCGCCATGCAACCTTTACGCTCCCGCATAGAGAAGAAAAAACAATGAGAAGGCCCTCCGGCCGAAGACACCCCCCAACGCAAACGCTGATTTGGCTCTGGTAAGCTTCTAGACATGACTCTCACAAGGCCTGTTCATATCAACACCATGACACCTCGACGTCGAGAATAGAAACAATGAGAAGGCCCTCCGGCCGAAGACACCCCCCAACACAAACGCTGATTTGGCTCTCGCAAGCTTCTAGACATGACTTTCGCAAGGCGTCTTTATGGCGACAAATCTTTCGCCATGCAGCCTTGACACCCCGACATCCAGAATGGAACAATGCGAAAGCCCGCCCTATGCAAAACCAAATTTTCTCTCTCGAAAGCTCGACATCTAACATCTTTTCCAGGGCATCTTCTCAGATGTCACCTTGCAAAAAGCAAGGCATCAGGCTCCATGACATAAGGCAGTGTGCTAGATGTTAGTCCGAAGTACAGCGTTGAGTGCAGAAGTGTTTGGATGTGGGCTGGCTTGGATTTGGCTGGCTCTTTTTTGGCTCGTTTTGAGTAGTGTTTGGGTGGCCTTGGGGTGGGCATGTCTGCACACAACTGCGTACAGCTGACCACTGCTACACCCTAAACCCTAAACCCTAAAACCCTAAACCCTAGACCCTAAACCCTAAACCCTAAACCCTAAACCCTAAACCCAAAACCCAAACCCTAAGCCCTAAACCCTAAACCCTAAACCCTAAACCCTGAACCCTAAACCCTAAACCCTAAACCCTAACTAAAGTGGGTTTAGGTCGTCAGGGCTTCAGGCTCAAGAGCACATGGGTGGAAGCTTTGGACCCTAGAGCCTGGACTCAAAACCCTAAGCCTCAACCCCTACAGTTTAGGGTTCAGGGTTCAGGGTTCAGGGTTCAGGGTTCAGGGTTTAGGGTTTAGGGTTTAGGGTTTAGGGTTTAGGGTTTAGGGTTTAGGGTTTAGCCTAGACCCCAACCCTGGTTTAGGCGTGTAGCAATGGCTGGGAGGTCGGACTGGTGAAGACCATGGCGTTTAAGTAGGGTTTCGGGTTCCGGGTGTAAGGCTCCTCTAGGGTTGAGGTTCCTGAGCATCCTAAGCCCGCAGCCCTTAGCGGCTCTAAGGGGGCCACCTGCAGTTTCTTTCTATTTCTGGTCTTGGGGGTTTTACCCGGACCCACCCTTAACCCACAACAATCCCCCCCCCCCCCAACTGTGAACCCTGAACCCGGAACCCACAACCGCTCTATGCCCTGAAAAACCTATAAACCCTAGACCCATGGACCCTCTAACCACTTAACCCTATTAACCCTAACCCTAAACCCTAAAAACCCTAAAAACTCCATAAGCCCCATAGACCCTAAGCTGTAAACCCTAAACCCTATAAGCCCTAAAAGGCCCTGGCTTGGCGAGAAGAGGCGGAGTATGGAGACCTTGTCGAGGCGTGGAGGGTCCGACTCAAGGTTAAGGTTTAGGGTTTGGGGTTTGGGGTTTGGGGTTAGGTTTTAGGGTTTAGGGTTTAGGGTTTAGAGTTTGGGGTTCAGGGTTTGGGGTTAGGTTTTGGGGTTCAGGGTTTAGGGTTTGGGGTTCAGGGTTTGGGGCTTAGGGGTTAGGGGTTTGGCTTTAGGCTTTGGGGTGTCCTCGTAGGGTCTAGGGTCTGGGGTTTAGGGTTTAGTGTTAGGGTCTAGGGTTTTGGGTTCAGGGTTTAGGGTTTAGTTTAGTGATTACGGGCAACATGGGCATCCACTCCACCTCGCCCCCTGGCTGTTCAGTGCACCTTTTTCCGTGCTTCAAGCTCCTCGAATAAACTGGTGGATGTAGCCTGAACCCTAAATCTTAAACAAGCCCTAAACCCTAAACCCTAAACCCTAAACCCTGAACCCTGAACCCTGAACCCTGAACCCTGAACCCTGAACCCTAAACCCTATACACACTAAACCCTCAACCCTCCCCTCTGTTTTCTTGTGGCCAGTGTAGCCGGAGGTTGGGGGACCAGACTCCGATCCGTCCGTTGCCAGCAACTGGGCTGCGTGGATTTCTTTTCCGCTAGTACACCCCCAAACCCTCAACCCGCAATCCTAAACCCTAAACGCTAAACCCTAAACCCTAAACCCTAAACGCTAAACCCTAACCACCCCCCCCCCCCCCCCCCCCCACCCAAACCCTAAACCCCCGTAAGCTTCAGACTCCAACCCTGAAACTCAAACCCTAGACCGTTTGCCGATGCCCTGCGGACTGCTCCATTTCTCCTAAGCAAGCTTCATTATAAGGGTTGTTCTTCATTTGGGGTGGGGCGTTGTCAGGGTGGGGATAGAGTAGGACCGAGTAGGTTGTGAAGTAGGGTCTTCATTGTTTTTGGTGAGTGTGTATGGGGGGGGGGATTCCTTACACCTGTTGATGAATGCATGTGTGGGACAACCTTTGCGGAGACTCTTAAGAGCACAAACCACTTCGTAAACTGTTTCCACAACTTATGCGCCTTGCAGCCCACTTGTTCTGCCCTGGATTCCCTGTTCTGTGGAAAAGGTGATGAGTTAATCGTTTAGGGTTAAGGGTTTAGGTTTAGGGTTTTTGGCTGAGTTGAGATTGAGCGCTTTCGCATGAGGAGATGTGACCTACGTCCTGGACAGGCGCGGTCGCGTTCTTGCGTGTCCCAAAGCGTGCCAATATTCTATTGATGTGGTTCGTGGCATGGGGCAGAACAACGCTAAGTCCTAGCAATGTAGACCCATATTGCTCCATATTCGGCCTTTTGCTGAGGTTTGTGTGTTTTCCTTTGTGTTTTTGATCAGAAGCCCAACATTATGTGCTGATGGGAATTCGCGCTAGCGCCCAAAGCGCTAAGGGCTGATGTTGGAGGTAGAGGCGACTGGAAGGTCGGCTATGATTAGCGTGGCTCCAGGCTCCGTCCCCGATGCGTGGCGGGCTTTGGAGTTCGAGAGAAGTAGATAGGGCGGACAGAGAAGTGCCTAGAATAGCCTTCAGCCTTCACAATTCCTGTGTACAATAGGCAGACGTGCCTTGCATGTTGGATAGGCTGGCCGGTGAAGTCTCCACATGTCCCAGAATGGATCCCTGTGCCGAAGCACGGAATCCGGGGGTTAGGGGCCCCAAACCCCAAGCCCCAGACCCTAAACTAAACCCTAAACCCCACGCCTAAACCCTAAACCTTAAACCCCAAGCCCGGCCCTAAACCCTAAGCCCTAAACCCTGACCTACACCCTTGCTCCGAGCAGGCCGTGCGCGCGCACCTACCGGCTGCTCCACGGCAGCGCCTGGCTGGCAAAGAACAGGCACGGGGGGGGAGGGTTTAGGGGTTGGGGTTCAGGGGTTGGGGTTTAGGGTTTAGGGTTCAGGGTTTAGGGTTGAGGGTTTAGGGTTGAGGGTTGAGGGTTTAGGGTGACATCCGTCTCAGTGCTGTTCAGAGCCTTAACTTTTTTGGGTTTAAGATCACGTGGTTTGATATTCGGGCACAGTCTGCATAGGTCTCGAGGGGCCAACGTGGTTAAAGTGAGCATGGCATGGCGTAGCTTTGGTGAAGAGCAATCGGGCTTGGGGTTGAGGCTTGAGGGAGAGGGTTTAGGGTTGGAGGCTTGGCTTGTAAGACAGTGTGGGTTTCGGGGTTTAGAGCTCAGGGTTTAGGTTACAGCCCGCGCTCGAAACGCAACTACAGGATATAGCTCGAAACAGCAAGTGATGGGGGGAATCCAGGTAGGTTTCAAAAGTGACCTAATCCCTAAGCCCTAAAACCCTAATGTCGCAACCTCTTTAGTGCTGGGCCCCCACCCCCCCCCCCGCCCCCACCCAGAACAGTCGAAGCTGGTTTTCGCCTGTTTGCGCGGCACACGGGTTTGATATGGGAGGAGTTTTATAAATTTCAAGGCGCAGTGATGCCCTGCAATTGATTTTAAAGGTGCCGCGTGGAATTTTCTTACGGCGCCCGGACGGTTTCACTTAATTCAGGATCCCACCGCACCTCCGAACAGTCAGGGTGTCCTGCATAGCCCAGCCAATTTGACTTTATTCAGGAGGCCCCCACAAAACCGGCCACCCTAAACCCTAAGCCCTAAGCACCTCGAACAAAGGCCAGATCATGACTACGTCATGTACCTCGATGACGACAGCTTTCTGAACATACCGCGGCTGGTGCAGCACCTGCAGCACCAGTGACTTGGCAGTGGCGCAGTCTACCTTCAACCCTAAGCCCTACTAAACCCTACTAATTGAAGCCTGCAAAGTTCTGCCAAACACTACTAAACCCTACCAAACCCCATTAAAGCGTACTTAACCCTACTAAACCCTACGAAGCCCCACTAAACCCTGAGCCCAAAACGCTTCAAGAACCCCAAGTCCTAAGCCCTAAACCCTACTAAACCCTACTAAACCCGAAACCATCCTAAAACCCTACGGTATGGGAATATGGATGCTTTGGGAACTCCTGCACTCCTATGAATGCCCGAAAACCCTAAAGTCCTAACCCCTGCCTCAAAATCCCAAAATCCTGAGCCCGCGTCTGCCCTGTGGCAGGTTTCCGCTAGAAGAGAGTCCGCAGGCTGAGTATAGGGTTATAGGGGAAGGTGAATATGGGCCCCTTGGCTACGAACACCCTGCCCTCAGGGGGACTGCAGTGCGAGATAGACCTCCCCCCCCCCCCCCGGCCTCAAAGCATGTCTGCTGAAAAGCTGCCACAGAGCCTTCGTCTAGTCTCTTAAAGGAAAGCCTAGGGCTCGGGGTTTCGGAGCTTCCTTCGGGTTGTTTAGGGGAGTTTCGGGTTTAGGGTTTAGGGTCCGGGTTCAGGATCTAGGGTGAGGGGCCAAGGCAGAGCAGCTCCCTGGCAATGGGCTACATCATGGAGACCAGCTTGGACTGGTCGCAGATGCACGCGCCTCTTTTTGTGACTATCTGAGGCCAGTGAGTAGGCTTTGGGTTTAGGGTTTAGGGTCATAGGCATTGGGGTTAGTTGCCAATATCATCAGTATGTTCTCTGCAAGATCCCAAACTACGTGTCTGTTATAGTCTTTACCCACTATTCGACAGGCCGGCCCCTGCCCCCAATCCTAAACCCACGAAACACTGTTGTTCCATTGTTCTCATGGTTTTCGCTCTGCTCGCCCGTGTATTCCTTTACGCATTTGTGTGTCCATGCTTTCTATGTAAAGGGCCAAGAGAAAACGTGCTTTCCGAATGGGCGGCACGCAGAAGAGTCGCGGCGAGGTTTTGAGGGCTAGGATGGTTTACCCTTAGGCTCAACATCGCCAACGCAACCTTCTACCGAATGGTCTTGAGCCCCCTGCACCGCCCCCAAACCTCTGAAAGACGAGTCCCGGGAATCTCTATTTCCTTCAGTCATCCTTCGACGCCAAGAACCCTGATAAACCAGGGTTTAGGGTTGCGCTCTGTGTCGAAAAAGGCACTTTTGAAAGTGTACATAGCACTTAAACCCAGGGTGGTTTGTGTGTGACGCCGATAGCTTTAGAGCAACTAGTTTAGCAACTTGGGCACCCGAGCATCAACAGCCCAAGCGCGCATGTTCATTCGGCCCAGGGAGGTTTGGGGGTGAAGGCCTTCAACACCCCTCGGCCCCTACAACTGAGAGCCCTGGCAACCTGAACAGTCCGCCAGAGTCCACTGCACCACCCCCGTCCCCCCACAATGAAGTAAATATGCTGAACTCCTAATCCCTTAGGTTTAGACCTTACTAGGGTTTACGGTTCAACCTAAATCCCCAAGCCCGCGCCTGGGGTTTATATGGGTTTTGGGTCAAAAACCTAAAGTGCGTAACCTTAGTGGAAAATGTGCCCCAAAACCCTAAACCCAAACCCTAGACCCTAAACCGCTTCCAACAAGTCGGGGATAATCCCCAAGCCGTAACGCAGGAGCCCAAGCATTTGGCTACAAGCCTTGTACAGTCATTACACAAACAAGCCATCCCAAAAACACCCATCCTGATTGACTGCCCGTACTAGCCACTTGCCAAACCAAACCCTAAGCCCGAAACCCCAAACCCAACACCCCAAAATCCCAAAACCCCAAAACCCAAACCCTAGACCCTAAGCCCTAAATCACAGAAACGAGGTTTGCGAAGTCTGCGATCCCTGCGAGCGCTGCCGAAGCGAGGTGAGACATTGCTGACCCCTGTTGCTTTTGGGACGTTTCGGGTTTCGGGTTTAGGGTCTAGTGTGAGTTTCTGTTTTCTGGTTTAGGTCTACGTAGGCTGTGAGGGCTTTTCTGGTTTGTCTGCGTGAGCGTCTGTGGCTGTTGAGCGTTTGGCGTCTGCTTGTTTGGTGCTCGGGTGCTTTTGGCGCGAGGTTGAGATTAAGAGTTGCGGCCCCGCCCAGGTACGAAACCATCACAGGCAACCACATAGGAACGCTGCGGATCCCCAACTTGGGATAACTGCTAGTGCATGACCTCACTGTCTTCGGTCGTGATTCAAAGATCCTACGGGCCCTTACCCGCACAGGATGTTCTCATGGTAGAAGTCTGCAACGGGGCGACTATTTTGGGCTATAAGCTATACGTATGGCTGGTGGGGTAAGAGGGGTGTGCCCCTAGCCCTTGCGATTTTGGGAAGCTAGGGTTTAGGGTTTAGGGTTTAGGGTTTAGGGTTTAGGGTTTAGGGTTTAGGGTTTGGGTTTAGGGTTTAGGGTTTAGGGTTTAGGGTCGTAAGTTGCAGTCGTCCTTGTGATCAACCCCATAAGGCTCCTCTTCTCGGTCTTAAGCACGAATCTCCACAGGCAGTTGATCTAAAGGACGCCTCCGTAAATAATGTAAAATGGGGGTTTACGAAAATGAGGGGCCCCTAATATCGACCCCAAAATAGTAGCATTCCCTAAAACCCTAAAACCCTAAAACCCTAAACCCTAAACCCTAAACCCTAATTTCGGAATCCCAAGAGGCAGAGCTCCGGGCCTTCTGCGGTCAGTTCCCTGGTCTTTCCATGGGCGGCTGCTGCCTTTGCAAGAGGAGGGCTTTTGGACCTTTGGGCCTTTGAAGGGCTTTAGGGGCCCAGGGCTTAGGGTTTAGGCAGTTTAGGGCTGGGGGTCTAAGGGCTTAGGGGCCCAGGGCTTAGGGTTTAGGCAGTTTAGGGCTTTTGGGGTCCTTTTTTTAGGGGCCGAGGGCTTAGGGTTTAGGCAGTTTAGGGCTTTTGGACCTTTGGGGGCTTTGAGGGCTTAGGGGCCGAGGGCTTAGGGTTTAGGCAGTTTAGGGCTTTTGGGGGCCTTTCTTTAGGGGCCGAGGGCTTAGGGTGTAGGCAGTTTAGGGCTTTTGGACCCTTGGGGGTTTGAGGGCTTAGGGGCCGAGGACTTAGGGTTTAGGGAGTTTAGGGAAGTAGGTGTTAGGGTTCAGGGTAGCCCTAAACTTGAAACCCTCCGCATTTCGTGTGAGGGGTGAGTGGGGGGGTGGTCTTGTCATCGAAGATGTCTTTGTGAAACGTGTTTCGTTGCTTTCAGCTCTTGCAGAGTCCATGAGAAGTTCTCGCCACCGCATGATTGCGGCATTTTCACGCCAAAGGTCTAGTGTAGCCCCAAAACCCCACACCCTATATCACCTAAACCCTATTCGTAATTATTGGGAACCACTCCAAGGCTGCATGATGGCCATTGAGAATTGCAACATCTTCGATGGCACCGAACCTTGGCGCAACTTGACTGCCCACCCTTTTGTGGGGCCCAAGTGAACCCCACGACGGGTTTGTGGTCCATATACCTTATAGATTCTGGGTGAACCCTAAACCCCAAACCCCAAACCCCAAACCCTAAACCCTAAACCCCAAACCCCAAACCCTAAACCCTAAACCCTAAACCCTAAACCCCAAACCCTCAACCGACGCCAGGACATCTCCAGCGAGAAGCTTCCAAGCTGCATCCAGACGAAGCACCGCGAGATCTCCCGCGTGGCGAGCTACTTCGGCTCCAAGGCCATCCCGAGTTGGTTCGGTTTATTCATGTATTGATTTATATATGTATATATGTATATATATATATATATATGTACATATGCTTATACATATGAGAATTGTTTGTGTTTGTTTGCTTTCAGCTTGTTGGCGTGCTTATCAAGGGTTTATAAAGGATTTCGGGCTTGGGGCTCCTGAGTTGTTTTGTTTTGTTTGTGTTCACTTTTTGCGGTGGTGCAGAAAGGGTTTGAGGTTTCTAGTGTTTTCGGGGCAACCCTAAACCCTAAACCCTAAAACCGGGGGGGGGGGGTTCGGACTTGTAGGGTTTTATTGCGTTCAGGGACGTTAGGGTTTCCAGTTGTGGGCATCCCGGGACTTTAAGGGGATTCCGGGGTGGTTGAAGGCCTTGTTTCATTTGTGTTTTTGCTCAATTGTTGTGGCCTTTCGAGGACTTCATGGCTGTAGGGGGCCACTGGTCTGAGGGCAACCCTAACCCGAAACCCTGAACTTTAGGGTTTAGGGTTTAGGGTTTAGGGTTTGGGGTTTGGGGTTTAGGGACCTAAACCCGAAACTTTCGAATAGGGCTCGAGGGTTGTGGGATGTGTGGGCCCACAGGGTTTTACGAACCCTCAACCCTGGACCCAAGATCTGCAACCCTACAGGGAAGGCTCCCTAGCTTTGCACCAGACTCGCTATAGAAGCAGAGCTATAAAAGGATATGACAATTCGGTAAAACGTGAGAAAGCATGAGGCTCCAAGTCTCTCAACTATAGTACCCTAAACCCTGGTTGAACCCTAAACCCTGGTTGAACCCTAAACCCTAAACCCTAAACCCTAAACCCTAAACCCTAAACCCTCAACCCTAACCCCTAACCCCTAGCCCCTAACCTAGCCATGCTCCAGGTGGCGCCCCGCTGGTTTCTGGGCATGGGCTGGGTCTTCGGGCGCAGGCACCGGCTGTGGAGCTGCAGGGTTGCGGTTTAGGGGTTTAGGGTTGTGGGTTTTGGGTTCAGGGTTTAGGGTTTAGGGTTTAGGGCGCTTAAGCTCCTTTTTTTTGATGTTTTTTTGAACACACACACACACACACACACACACGCTGACAGGTTGTGACGGTAGAGCCAACAGCCGGGGAACTTGAAATCTAAAATCCAGCAAATACAGCTCCAAATAGGCTTTGGTGTAGGGGGTTTTTGCAGCAACTGCACAGGGGCATGATTGTCTTGGATCGGACGGTTTAACGTTTAAGGTGCTCAGGTTCAAGGATTCTCTGGATGATCAACGGTCCCTGCAACGGTGCAACTCCTCCTGCAAGTCCCCCAACATTTTACTAATGACCTTCGTACATAAGGGTTCATGTAGCCTACAATAGTAGGGCAGGCTTAGGCTTCAAGCTAGTTCGCAAAGGACCCAAGGGTATATCAAGCGAATGAAAAAGTACAGAAAACAAGTACACGGAGCGAATGTCATTAGGTAAAGAAACGAAATCTATAGACAGACAAAATTGAAGCAAAGTTGAACACAAATACATATATATATATATGTATGTATGTATATATATATATATATTTTGTAGCTGTTCACGAAGGTATGTGGGCACACAGGGGGTGAATCCTGCCGAGGCTTGTCCGGTACCTGGGTCGGAACGCGCACCGTCTGAAAGTCCGTGGGGCGGCAGACGTCTCCCTGGGCTTCTGGACTCTCGGCATACTTTGGGATGTTCCCCCTTCTACTAGCAGTCCTGACTGTTAGTGGCTTCAGGGAGTTAGGGATCTCAAGAGATTTCCTGCTCTACGTATATATTCTAAGTATCCGGGTAAGTACCCTTTTGCCGTTGGGCGCATCATACTCCCTACATTGTCCGAAGAGTTTGCCTTCAGTTTGCCTAGGAAACTGGACAAATTTTAGTAAGTGTTTCAAGCCATTCCCCAAACCCCCAAAGGTTATCACCCCCTTAATTCAGGAGGTACCGGTAGCTGCATCCAACACCTCGTCCTGAGCCCTAGCCCAAA